GCACGTTTCCCTCCTAGAAATGGTGAAGCAGAAGGCTCTGCTTGTGCAGAGCTTAAAGAATCCTCGATGCCAAGACTGAGTCAGGGGCTCTGCGCAGACACAGAGCTCAAACCAGGGAGAGGGAGCCCATCCTCCCGACGAACCTACCACCCAAGCTATGGGGTAAAGACTTCGCCTTAGAAAGGTAGATAAAATGTCCAGGCTTCATCTGAGCCCTGGAAGGGTCGCAAGAAACTGGCTTAAAAGGGTTCACTCAATCCTGCACCCAGGGCCCAAGTCATTATATCGTCCTGTCAGTCTCCTTGCCGCAGTTCATGAAGTAACACGACTAAAGCATGATTACTTAATTCAAAACAAAATGTTCCTGGTTTTTGCCAAAATTCTTCCTTCTCATCCCTTCTAACCACCTGGAGTTTGAATGGAACATTTTGCCTATTTGGCTTAAATCTCTTGCCCTTAGCAAACCGGACAGCCTACACTTAACAGTGTGCAAATAACTTGCCTGCCCTATCCAAGTTAACTTCGCCTGAACAGTAATGAACTTCAGGAAAGTGGTGAAATTACCCATCTTGAACAGCAACTCATAAAATAAGTATTTATGTTGGACTTGAGCAAATGTAGAACAGGGAAAAGTGGAAAAGGATTAACTTAAATTTATTAATGCCAAGGGAAGGAAGGTAACAGTTCCTGACCCTCCCGCTGTATCCACAGTTCGGCCAGGAACAGGCTCTGCCAGAGGCTAGGGCCAGCGCTACATAGTCTGTGGTTAATGGAGGTGTCTAGGGAGGGGTGAGCGCCTCAGTTGCTCTAGTCTCCTTTCCTTCCCCAGAAATGAGGAAGTGGTCATGTATTATTTTAGGAGTTCCCCTGCCCACCCAATCCACTCAAATATGGAAGCAATCAGGTACAAGTTTTCTTTTTCCTTTTCACCTCCTGGAGTGGGAGTCCTGGGTCTCCCCACATCTCCCCTGCCCCTCCCACTTTTCCATAGTCCAAGGGCCAGAGTAAATGAAAATACAGCAGCCACCCAAGCAATGGGGGACCAAGCTGAGGCTTCAGTCATCCGCATCTTCGCTGGAGTCTGAGTTGGCTGGCATCATAGGATCATCAATGAGTGAGAAGTCCCTTTCTGAGCTATCGTAGCCCTGAGATAAATCATCATCATCATCTTCATCCTCATCGTCCTCGTCCTCCTCAGGTTGCAGTTGTGGCAACCTCAAGGCAGTACCAGAGGTGGTAGTGGCTGGTGAAGAAGGGTAACCAGTGGCTCTCAGGCCTGGATGGTGATGGTGATGATGGTGGGGGTGGGGGTGGTGGTGGTGGTGATGAAGCATGGTGCTGGAGTCTACATGAGGGGATGATGTTGCACCACCCATCATAAATGGCATAAAAGGCAAAGATGCAGAAGTGGCACTGCTATGACCCAGAGATGACACAGACTGCAGGCCACTATTGCTGTGCTGGAAGCTATTATGCAGAGATAGGGAGCCAGTGCCTCCACCCTGCATCAGGGCCATCATCTTAGAAAGGTCTGGTCGCATCCTACGGGCTCGCTTCTTACTGTTGTCTGGTGCAATAGGCCCTGGCAAAACCCGGTTGAACATAGTTTCAGCAGGGTGACCCTGGAAAGAAGGAACAGAAAAAGACAGTAAAAAGAAAGGAAAAAATGAAACAGAAGTGAATAATTCCAGCTTGTATAAGCTTTTTCACTGAAACTATCTTTAGGAGGGGCAAAACAAGGATAGTCAGAGGCAGCTTAAAGGTAATGGGGAAGAGATGCTGGATGTAGCTGGTTGGAGAATTCTGATGCTAAGATCAAGGAATTGATACTGATGCTCATGTGAACCAGAGTTTTGTTTTTTTCCATGACAACATTATACCTTTACTCTAGCCAAGTACTTCACAAATGCTTACCTTTGTTAATGAGGTGCCTAAGTAAGACACTGAATAAATCGGTACTTGCACAGTAAACTTTACCAACAGCAGGTTGTTCACATGATCTTATCATGTGAAAGTGCCTCAAGACTGTATTGATATTCACGATACTGTCCTTCATTATCGAGTCAGAGTGGGTAAACTGAAGAGAGGTCAGATTACACTTTTGGATGTCTGGAACACCAAAAAGATTGTGGCTAGCTCCTCGCCAAATTTAACAGAATTAAGCTTTTCACAATGATAAAAAAACTTATCTGCCGAATTTTAAATTGCTTCTTCTGGATGTTCTGACTATAAATTTTGATTAAGTTCACTGATGCTGGAAATTATTACTTTTAGTGCCTCTGCTTTGCTAGACATAAGTATATTACTGGGTAAATTGTCATGGAACTAAGACAATTGGTAACTGTGCCTCTGGACATTGCCTAATCTAAGTCTAGCACCTAGCATCAGAATGTGCCTTTATATCTTGCAAAAACAAACATCTCGAAACTCTATTTGTGAAGACTTTAAAAATACTGTAAGAACACCTAAACTCCTGTAGGTCTCAGTAGTAAAGTATGTAGTCCTAGATACACTGTAGATACACTATCAATTCTGCATTAAGAATTCTGTACTAGTCATGATTTTCTGTGATTTCCTATGGTCCTTCCTTTCTTAGAGTAATCCACTGACTACAAAGTAGCAGCAAAAGTACTTGAGGTAAAAATAGGTAATATTAGTTTTTGGATGAAAGGAGGAAAAGCCTTTTTTTAAGGCTGCTCTATAATGATAAATTCAAGATAGAGAATGTACTAGCCTTCTAGGCATCAGCTTCCCGTATCAACCATTCTGCTTATTGCCTATTTGGTCCCATAGAGGCTAAGAGGGAAAATTAAAATATTTTTCTATGATAACAAAATTTACATGAAACCACTTTCACCAATATAAACCTCATAAATTCATGACACAAATAAATATATATTATGTGCAAAATAATGTTCTCAGAATTTAAGTGCAAAAGATAGTTACTCATTTGGAAATCAATTTTGTTAAAAAGAGAAATCATGTAAAAAGATGGATATAAAGGATCAAATGAGGAAATAATTAGATAAAATGAGTACACAAAAGTGCTAATTCATTACAAATGATTGCTTACCAAACCAAGCCATGATCCATACATGTTTAAAAAATACAACTACTGCTCGAAGTGAGGCAAACACAACCAAGAGAAACTTTTGTATTATGTTTTGGTAGAAAGGATTATGGGTACTTAATCTACCAGATTATCTATAACCATGATAAAACATAGGTATACCTGAAAATAAGTTAATGACCAAAGTTGTTATGATAAACTATAAAACATGATTTCCTGTCCTTTTTTCATTACTGGCGTTATTATTAGTGATTCTCAACCTCTTATATGTTGTGAAACTCCATCACTGTTTTTCTTAGTAGACCTCCAAATCATTTCTAAAATAGAGAACCATAAAACTTTTAGAGATTATCTGCTCCAAAACCCTCACTTCTCAGGATGTGTAAACTGAAAAGGTTAAAGGACTTGCCAAAAATCCCCTTAGTTGGTTGAAGAGCAGGTTAAGGCCTTGAATGTTCTAACACATCTTACTAATTAATTCCTGTATTTTAATATCCTTAAAGTGAAGTTAATTTTTAGAATTTAATGTTGTTCTGGAGATGACAATGCTATAAATTATTAAAATACTACAGAAATACCAACAAAAACACTCTGGCTTCCTTATTTGTGAACTGAAGATACATTTTCTCATACATTGGGAAAAAGGTAAACAGCATTAAATAATTTTTTTGGTCACATCTAGTGTGGGAACAGAGCCATAAATGCCTCAGTCTTACTCACCTTTTTTCCATTCCTAGAGTTGGCGGTCTGTACTGGTTCCATTCCCAAACAGTTCAATTCTACCTTATTATTTTTTTTACATCTCTGCCACTTCTGTTTTCTGCGATCCTCCATGTACTGCAATAGAAAAGTATCAGTTAACATAGGGGAATAAAAATCTTCTCTCAACTAATTACTAAGGTATTTGTGTCTAGTTAAACAATAAGTGATTACTGCACTGGCAAACAAAACATTAGTCTTAATGGAAAATTGCCATTAAGCATATCTTTCCAAAAATTTTAGATGGTTGTATAACAGCTTAATAGTAAATAGTTGCCTTGCAATTTAACAAGTGCTTTAACATTATTTTGATCCTCACAAATTCTGTGAGGTAGGATGATTGGCAGGTACTACTACTCCTATTTTGCAGATGCAGAAACAATGACATAATATGGCATGCTTCCTTCCTCTCACACAGTTTAAAAATCAAGGAGATGATTTTTAAATCTTGCTGGATGGAACTGCCACTCACCGCTAGAAATCGGGGATCAACAGCAAATTCTGGATGACCCTGTAACCACATCTCCAGTTCAGCTCGGCGAGGAGCATCCTCACCCACCAGCAAAGTACCATCCACCTTATTGATGACAGGGATCCGAGTCTCCAGGTCCACATCAAGGTGATTAGGCTCTTCCATGCATTCCTCCTCCAGCTGCAAACCCAGAATCCACCCCCATGAGCACATACTCTTCTTTGGAGCAGGGAGGGAAGGGGAGCAGAGCCAATGGTAGCCATAAAGTAACTCTTAACATCTTCTAGTCCCTCAATCCCAACTGCCTTCATCAATTACTGAGCATAAAGAACTCTTATCTAATCATCACATTAAAGACTTTCTCTACCACTCACCTCAACTAGCTTCTTTCTGTTCCCCTTCTTCTTATGAAATAGAGGATGTCCATCTCCCATTACTCCATTAGCCATCAACTTGTGCTTCTGGAATGTTAGTTTCAATCCTTCTTCCTAGGAAGACAACCCATCCCCCCAAGATGTCATATGGCACCACACAGCACATGTTTTTAAAGTAAAGATTAATCTTTGGAAGACTTGGGGTAAGAGTCATCTTCTGGCTCAATGATGCTGAGAAGACCATTAAACTAAAGGGTACAAATTAGAGATAAAACAAAAGATATATATACCTTTTCTTTAGAAATGTTTCATTTTTTGACCTAGTGCCCCTTAGGTGGCTTTGAGAGAAGGAGAATGTATCTCAACAACACCCGATGCAGGGTAAAAACCCCCCTACCTGGTATGTCAGCATTAGCATGGAAATGCATCAGAGGGGTAAAATTCAGTTATTCCTGTCACATACTATTAGGTTGGGCAAAAGTGACAGCCCCACGGCAAAAGATTATTTGGCCAAAATATCAATAGTACCAAGAAACTTCACAAACCACTTTTGACAAGTTCAATCAGTCACAGCACCTTCTCCATATACCGCACAAAATTTTTTTGCCTTTCAGTAGCATCTTTATCTTTCTTGAAACAATAAAGCATAATATGCTGAAAATGCTGCACATTTTCTTCCATCTTCAGTATTAAAATGGCTGCACAAAAATTCACCAATTTTGATGTCTTTTAAAAAAACGTATGTTGATACGACAGCTTTCACAGTACAATCTAACAAAATTGTTTCGAATGAAGTTAAAAACAACTAAGCAGTACTAGAGCCATTTATTGGGAAAAATGTACAGGCTTTTTGACCAACCCAATTAATTTAAGAACTTTTCTTTTTGAATACTTAATAACCAGCTAATAGAGTTCAATATGGAAGAGGATTAGGAAAAATAAAAATTTCCATCTATAAAATAACACTTTCACTACAGATGAGTCCTTTTTATTTTTAACTTAGTAAAGCCCATAATACTTAGGTGTCATTTTATCAGTTTTCCTACAATTTAAACTTTTAAAAAATAGGTTTCTAGGATCTAGAAGCAAGCCACTCAAAAGAAGCCTCTGCCAATTAAACATCTTTTAAAAATATGGTTTCTTTTAATCTAGTCCTCAGGAGATACAAGCTATAAGATCTCCTCCTTTACTGCAATGACTTTTCCTACATGGATCTTTGTGAACTCTAACTTTTTTTTCTCCTCTCATTTTTAAACAAAATGAGTTTAGTGAAACTAGTTAGCAAGAACTGTGGCCTCCTTTCCCATTTCCCAATACCTAAATGCTAAGCTTACATCTTTGATCTGAACCGTAAACTCCTTCTCATCCATGCCTCGGCGAAGTTTGGTGAACTGAGCTGCTGCTGTGGTGGTGACTGCAGACACTTCCTCCTCTGCCATGGAAGCTGCACTGCTACTTCGAGGTGTGGGGACGGGGGAGTCACCATATTCTCCTGGAGTCAATAAGGGACTGTCTAGTAAGTGGTTGCCTGGCTCCAAAATTCCTCCTGTTACCATTTCCTGGCTCCGGCGGCTAGAAGGCCACTTCCCTGAGAGTACAGCCTGGCAGACGAGGTCAATACGGTTTATCAGGACACGATCCTGAGTGGGGAAAAAAGAAATCAATACTGGTTTTAGGGCCCAAGTACTAGCTATGTGCTCCTGTGACAAACAATAATGCCATCATTATCAGAATGGGTAAAATCATAAGGTAGGGAGGAGGGAGGCTGACAGTATCATATTCCTAAGTGAAATGGGAAGAATTTCATAAAATGACTAGTAGCACTAAATACAAAGAAAATCAGAGCCATCTGTTCCTTATTCCCTGTGAGTTACACTGTATTTCTAAACTCTGCCTTTCAAGGAATGAGGCTGTTACCTTGGGCCACTCAGAGGCTCTTTGTCTTTCTTGTAGCAGCAGAAGCTCAGGGGTCATTTGTTCTCCATCTTCATTTGGGAATCCATCTTGGGACATAGTGAGGGACAGGAGGCTCTCTTCATCATAGAGCTTTGAGTGGGGCCTGTCAGCAGCTAGAGATCATACAGAATGTGTGAGCAAACATGAAAGAATAAAGTTACACAGGAATGATATTTTTATATAGGCTTTAAATAAAGACCCAGGGAGTTCTGATATTCTATCAAATTAAAATTCGAATCTTCCTCAAGAGGATGCATTTACAAAAGGGAAAGAATAGAGAGAGGAATGATAGGGAAGAACTCCAACAGACTGTCACATGCACTCACTTAGCTTTTCTTCCTTCTCGTCCTCACTCTCATCAGTGCTGGAGCTGGAGCTCGATGAGGATGAGGAAGAAGAGGATGATGGTGACAGCTTACTCAAGTCCAGCTCAGAGTCTGAATCATCCTCATCCTCCAGTTTGACTGGCGGGACACTCCGGGAAACCAGAGGGGTAGTATCAGAGGGGGCTACTCGCATCTCATAGACTTGAGGGGTTGCTCGGCTCCTGGCCACCACTTCATGCTCTAGCTTTAGAGTTAGACTGTCCAGACTGGGAACCTGGGCAGCCGTCTCCTCAGGTGGCTTTTCAACAGGAGCATCTGTGCGCAGGGGCAATGGTGAGGCAGTGCGCGAATTATACTGCTGGTGCAGCAGTGGAGTAGAGCAGCGTGACAGGGAGGGAGCTGCTGCTCCTGCCTGATGGTTCTGCATATAATTCATTCGGGCAGCCAAAAAAGAGAAGTCTGGGTCCTGCATGATGTTGCAGTCTGTTTGGCTCACCCCATGGCGGGCTGCCCCTCTTAGAAGCTCCCCATCATGTCGAACAGGTTCCCACCATTTGGGCAATTCAGGACCTGGAGGCTGACATAATGCCAACCGGTCCTCTAAAAGGGGGTGGCATAAAACTTGTTCCCGTAAGCGCCGAAGCAATTCGATACGATAGAGAGTCCGTGAAGCCCTCTCCTCCGTGATGGGCTCAATAAACAGATTAGGGTCCGGAGGCTCTGTAAGAGAGTGGAAGAAGAAATGAACTAAGAGTTGGCTCTGTCGCCATCCATCCCCACTCATCCCAAAATCTCTCATCTCGCTTACCATCTCCAGCTGCTGGGGGAAGACGGCACACTTGGCGGCACATGGCCACAAAGCCATGGAAATACTTGGTAAGGCTTTCATCTGTTTTTTTGTCCAGTCGAGCAAAAGTGCGGAAGCGATCCCAATGGAACTGCATGGTGTCAGGATCGTACTCCACACCAAAGGTAGACACTACTCGATAGAAATCCGTTTGTTCTCGCCTTGTCCAACTACAAAGGGAAGAGGAATCCGGCAGGCAACAGTGAGTAGAAGAACACATGGAAGCTCGTTACTTCTTAGTGCAATTTCAAGTACTGTATTTTGCCATGTATAGTGTGCCCCCGTATTTTTGGCGCAAACTTTCAGGGGGAAAAAAAGCCCTCATGTTTTTTTAATTCAATTCTTTTTTTATACTTAGATTCCTGTTTTTTGTATTTAAAAAGAATTTTAGCATTTATTTTTGAACATATTATGGTAAAAGAAATTTTCTGTAACGATTACAAAACAACAACAAAGTATTTCAGGCACTACCCATGTATAATGCACATCCTTATTTTTCCCTCAAAAATTTTGGCAAAACAGTGTGCATTATACACAGAAAATTATGGTACCTGAATACACAAAAATTGAAAGGGGGGAGCAAAAAAAAGCCCAGAAGATAACAAAAGAGGTCATAAGAGGTACTCTGTAACATCTAAGAATAAGCAAGGTAAGGGGGAAAGTGATGTGGGCAAATAATGGGAATGGCTATATAGGGTATCTTCCTGGGAGTTATGACTATGCAGTAAGTGAGGTTTTTGTCACAGAGGTGTAACAACTAAGGGCAAAGAAGATGGTCCCTCTGTAATGAATTCCAAGTAATTTCTTCCTAAGATGGTTTTCAATATAGGGCCTACAGTTGAGGACAAGCTTACAAGTTCAGCCCAAATTCCCAGCCATATCTTACCGTTGCTGTTTTTCACGCCGTGCAATTTCTTTCAGCTTGAAGGCTGCCTCACAACGCCGCCTTCTCCGGTCCCCACGTTCGGCAGCTTCTATCTTCATCTGTTCTCTCTTGTAGCTGCGTTGATAGGCTGTAACTAGGCGCCGAAGCCTGGCTGTCAGAGCAGAGCCTGGAGGCCAGAATAGATGGCCTGGCTGCTGGGTTACCTGGGCTGTGGGAACCAAAGTTAAATGAATAAAAAGTACAGGAAAAATAGTATAGCTAATGCTCATACTTCAACCCACCCAAAGGCAAAGCTTTTAGAAATCCCAGGATAGGACAGGATTTAGTCAGTAATACCCCAAACCCACCACCCAACACAAATTATACTGGTTGACCTAGAAGTTTACCTTCATCTCCATCAATCACTGAGATCTCCTCATCCATCATCATCAAGGGATCACCCTAGAGAAGGAGATCCACCCCACAGGATGGAGGGGGAGGGAAAGGGGGGGAAGTTGGTACTCTGAAATCACTCTCTCATGTGTGTCCTTCTATGGCACCAAGGGATCAAGAAAAATTTCTAATGAAAGGAACCTTCACAAAAAACTGGAAGCAACCAACTCTAAGAAAGAAGAACCTGAAAAGTCAATTCTTACTAATGGCTTAAAGATAACAGGACTCAGGAATTTATTAAAAAAATATTTTCCAATGTCCAGGTGGGGTCCCACCTCTTCCACAAAGTCATTCCTGATCTCCCCCAGCTGGCGTTACAATCTTTCCTACTAATACTTTATATTCTCAAATGGTGATTACTTTTCATTTTGTATTATAAATTAATCAATATACTTCAGGGTTTAAGGAATGACAGAATGTTTAACTATTTAGTCATAGAGAAAACAGACTTAAATGAGAATCCTCACCTCATCATCTTGGTCCTTTGGGGGACCCTGGAGTGGTTTATATTCAGGATCTTCACAATCCTTATCAAAGTCAACCCTAAAATTATCCAGAGGCATTAGCAAATGTTAGCAACATGTATTTTTTTCATTAAGAGGAACCTAGGATAAAGAGCTGGTCAAATATACACTTCAGCAGGGAATAGTCTTTTCTTTCATGCTAGAAGGAATGGCAGGCCAGATCCTAAGCTCTGAGTAAGTTAGGTACAGCATCCAACAGAACAAAGAATTGGGAAAAATTGATGAAGTGTACTCTAAATTGCATTAATTTGAAACAAAACACTGACCAGCATACTTGGTGTCTCTTCATGGCCTTTTTAATTACTTAATTAATTTCCCACCTCCTTCCCAACTATTTACTTTTATTATTTCACTTGAATGACCCATGCTTGCTTATTTTTACTATTTTGCTCTACTGAGCAGAAGGGTGACATAATAAGTGATTTGCAATGAAAAAATGGCCCAATTTCCCAAGGATTGAAGCGG